ATATGTAAATCACAGTTTATGCACATCGCTTAAACACATGAGAACCCAGGAAAAAAAAAATGGCGAACTGACAGTGTGATCTTCGAACTTTACTTGGCCAAGGAAACCCACTAGAATAAGAACGATAAGTTAAAACTTGAAAATATTTTTTATGATTATTCTTACTTGTGCCTAAAATGAAAAAAAATCTTTAATAACAACTATGTGGCTTTGGTTTGAAAAGGTACTAACAAACAAAATTGAGCAAATTGAGTTTTCACTAAGAAATCAGTGAAAAGGAAGTTGTCTATATCCCAAATTAATTTCAGTACTATCAGTTGAAAAATAAAAAAACTAGCAGTGTGATATAGTACTTTGCAAGACCAAGACCAGGACTGGTAAAAAAACTCGATTTTTTTGTATAAAATTTAAGGCAAAATAGTTACTAATACTTGACAATCTTAGTTACTATTTATAAATAATTAGTGTAACCAATATACTTTTGCATTTAACTCCTCTAAATTTTCATTCGGGCTTAGTTAGGTTTCTCCTATCTAAAAAATTACAGTAATAAGCTAATAAGTAACTGCATGACTGTTGCGAGAATCATGCTCAAGACCAAGACTGAGTATGCAAGACCAAGACTGAGTTTGCAAGACCAAGACTTGTCTCAGTCTCGCATAGGGGCAACAATAACTAGAGACAACCTTTCAAAGTAATAGGTTGCAGAAGGTTCTAACTGCAAAATTTAATAATTCAATATTCAGACTGATAATAATAAAAGGTAGGATTAAGCCATCAATGTATCTTCGGATATAAGCACACTGCTTCAAGGTATTTTACAAAAAAAATTGTCAGTGTATCAAAATATTCATACTAGAGTAAATTGCAAATTCGAAGCTATGTTTCTCAAATTTATAATGAATGCAGTTAGAACCTCCTCAAACCAAGGCCACGACTCAATTAAAAAAATAATCTTTTAAGTATATCAAGGCATTTCTAAAAGTTACTCTCACATCAAAAACCTACAATAAAAAAAAATTTCCCTATGATTGTAACTATTTTAATAATGCAAAAGTCGATGTATTAAAATACATATACACAAAAATAAGACCATAGAGAAAATATTGACAAAATCATGAGAGATGGGGAGGTTAAGAGGAAAATTTTAAATATGCAAATAAGCTTCATGTTTGAAGAAATCAAAACAACTTAAATTGGTTTAATTTTACCCATAACGTACGTAATTCGTTGACACAAGACGGCTCAGCTAACAGGGAATAAAAATGTTAATAGAGCTAAACTACAGCGGCAGAGATATATCGCGAAGTAATATTATTTCGATACATGAGAGTATACATAATGCATGAGATACATAAACAAGAGGCATTGCTACCGTACGGAGCGGAACTCTGGAATGCAGCGCCGACCGGTCAGCAAATGTCATCTTCTCCGCGCAGGTGTCGTCTTCTCCTCGGAGTCTATGATATCCCAACCATATTCATATATATATATATATATATATATATATATATATATATATATATATATATATATATATGTATATTTATATATATACAAATCTTTGTGAGGATTTATATAAGCACATACATACATAAACTAACATACATTTCTTCATATAAAGCCAATTATATATATCAGCATAAAAAGACCAGTTTTTAACATCGATAAAGCAGGATACCATGGACCGCGAGAGGAAGGGTTCTTGATTAAAAATATGGTTATTAAATCCAAACAATGGTCAAACTTTGTTGTTACTATAATTAATTTTACATAAAGATCACCTGTAGCGAATGTTTACCTGGTGACATAGTATTCAGCTGAAATAAGGTTGAGAATTTAGAACTAAAGGCGTTTTTGAGAGCAAATTATTTGATGATGTATTTGACATCTAATTAATAAATGATTTCAGTAAAAACACAGTTTTTAAGATTTAATGTTTTGTGCCATTAGTTTGTACACAATCAAGCAGTTCTGTTTTATAAATATGATATAATGAAATTAAGTTAATTTGATGATGCCTAAGATTGACCTTTTCCATATCAATATATTTTTTTTAATAACGATATCTCATTAAAAAGTTAATTTTCGGGGTGTTTATTAATATTAAGTCCAGATAATGACGGTCGAATTCTAATTCTAATTCTAACTGATCAACAACGATAATTTTGCTAAGCAGTGGTCGATAATCAGTTCTTAACAATTATTCGTTATTATTAAAGTGTAACATAGTAAAAATCAACAAAAATAGAGAGAGAATCACTTTATTATCAAAAAATGGTGCTGCCCAATTACTTTGGGTTGCTTTAAACACAGCATACTTATTAATCTCTACAGACAATTTTCCAACATTAATATACAATTATATAGTATTAACAATACGTATGAGCGTAGTACACAATTTTTTTAAATATATTTTTTAATAATTTTTTTTCTATATATATATATTTTTATTTTTACTATTTCTTTCATTCATTCATTAGCATTATACATCTCTTTCTGTTCCTTCTCTCACCTTATACATTTTTCTCATTCCCTAGATTTTCTCCTCTCTCTTCCTAACCTAATTCATAACATGCATACAAATACATAAAGTGCAGTGGACGTGGTCAATAAATAATGTAAAAATACTGTAAAACACGCATGCCTCCCCTCATGAACAAACTCTCTCTCTATCCATGCATATGGTGATGGATAACTCCCAGTTATAATTCGAAAACTCATATTTTGATGAAATAGCTACATGGCCGCTGAAAACCGCAATAGACCTTCCCGTTCTCCTGCCGTTTCTAGCTAAACGTGATTTTTTCCGAAAATTGGGACATTTTAAAAACGCCACTGGACGTGAAAATAATCGTTAAAAATTGGGACTGTCAGGCAAAAAGCGGGACGTCTGGTCACCTTAAGTAAAAGGTGCAAAAAAAAAATCCCTAATTTCAAGATAATCTTGACTAAATCATTTGATTTAATGAAGAATTAAAGAATATATAAAGTACAAAAAAAAAAAAAAAAAAAACCTTTGAGAAACACTATATACTGCTCAAAAATCAATAGGGATATTTCTGTATGATGCTTACTTTATTTGTTTTCATTAAAATATCCTTCTTTTTTTTCGATAGGGTTTCTCTTATTTGTTGGTAAACATAAAAAGTAAACAACAAGTATTCTTTATTTCTATATTAAATTGTTGTATAAATAAATTGTTAATATTTTTTTGTCTTTAATTCTTCATTCGCACCGGTCATGGTAGTGACAATTAGCAGATTTGTTGTTAGATAGAAAATAGCATGATAGGCATGACGAAGAATGGAACTCAGCAGCACCTCTTCCCTGGTCTGTTTACATCCTAAAATCAGGAAAGGAGATCTCTCATCCAGCTCCTTTTCAGTCTCCTCTTGATGAGCATTTCAGCCGAGGCCATGTCGTTCATAAGTCCATTGTGATGTCCGTGTAGTTTAAGATGAAATAGGGAGTAGAGAGTACGTATGTGCTGGTCAATAGTTGATTATTAAATAAAAAATGGAGAATATTCATTTTGTAAACCAACTAATGTTTTCGACTTTTCTCAATTTTAATCCAGTAATACTCTGTATAAAGAAGGAAATACAACAAATTAAATCAGATGTTTGCATTAATCAAATTCAGAAAAACCGAAAGTAAAAATAGGAGACATGTTAGTAGGTTATGACACATTACGGCACCAAAAGATGGCAAGAACATTGATATTAGTGCAAGAAGCAACCCTTTTTATAGTACCCGACATAGCTCAGATACCCAGCAACTATTACCATTCATAAAGGTGTTATTGTGAGTATCCTGAGGTGTGCACCCCCTACCTGGAGCCTAAATCTCTCGCGCAGACAGAAATGTAGGTTGGCCACGATTCAGCGTATGGCTCTGCTTCGAGTATCCAGATCATTCAGGATGGTGTCTCATGAGGCTGTGCAGGTCTTGGCAGGAGGAATACCTCTCGACCTCCTGCTGAGAGAAGACTACTACCGGTATAAGATTAGGAGAGAATGCTTAGCGGCTCTACCGGATTACCTCCGAGTGAGAATAGGAGATGATCCAAGAAACTGGAAGAAGATCCTCCGGGAGGATACAGTAGAGGACTGAAACCGACGGTGGTTGACGACTCCCAAAGGAGCTCCCCTACGGAAGAACTTCCCCTCCGTCAGTTCGCGACTAGAAGCGACTTGGGTCCTCCCGGACTACTGGATTTCACAGATTCTCACGGGGCATGGGGGTTTCTGAGCAAAGCCCGTTCAGTATGGTATAAATATCGATCCCCTATGCCCAAGTTGTGGGGTACCGAAGACCGCTGAACATGTTGTACTTACCTGTACGGTCTTTGAGTCACTGAGGGCGAAACTGTTGAGAGGAACAGGTCTCTTTGTCCTAACAGAGAGAGATCTTCCTCAATTAATGTCCAAAGACAAATACGTGCACTTCAAACGTTTTATATACGGTTGGAAAGAAGTTGTTCTACCAACCCACTTCTCTCTGGGAAAAAGAAGAGAAGCTGCACCGGAGAGGCCACCAGAATAGATAGAAGGAAAGAAAACCAGATGCAAGTGAAGAGAAGAGCAAGCTCTGTGCACAGCTCAGAAAAATAATGTAATAGCCAAAAATGCAGCAGTGGGTTGTTATGTAACAGTGACATCCCTCTGCTGCAAATACCCGTATTCCCTTGAGGCAGGGGAGGGTTCAAAATAAAATAAAATAGTACCTGACAGAGCCTAATTAGCAATATGCAATCATAAAAACATAATATCACATAAACCTTTAATTTTATTAAAACGCCTTTCGCAAAATTCCCCAAGATCAAATACAATCTAATTCATATTAATGTTCAATGCAATTTATGTTAAAGAAAAATTCTAGAGAAAATAAATCATACATAACTAACAATATGTTTAAAAATTTTGGAGCAGCATATAAAGATTCTATTGAATACGGGATGTTTTTAATAATAATTATAATAATAATAAATTTGTTACCTTTGGAAGCCTGGGGTGGTTTGGTGTCGGTGCTGAGTGCCCTCGTGAAGTGTTCATCCACGACGGCGGCCACGTCTCCCGTGTAGTGCGTGAACACCACGCAGTTCGCGGAGACGTATTGGGCTCTGCTCGAAGACGTACTGTCTTCGTCCTCGTCGGTGTAGACCGATCCTAGAAAAAAATAATCAAAATCAGAGAAACTAAAAAGAGATTACCATGAATCCATAAAAATAACGCATTTTTCAACAAGTCAAAACTTTTTAAAAAAAACGACATAATTAGAATTGTCAAATAATCAAAAACTATTCAAAATTCCGGAGGCTAGTTCAGTGTTTACTGGTGAAATGATAGCAATTAGAGAAGCTCTAAAGCACATAGAGACAGATAAAACTACCAATTGGGCAGTGGTGAAAGACTCTATGAGTTCATTACTAGCCATTAAACATACCAGGCCCCAAAAAAATCTTGTAAAAGAAATAAGAAACGTTTGGTGCCTACTAAGGGTCAAGGGCAAAGAAGTAATGTTCATTAAGGCACCCTTTGATAAAATTTTTATTCATATGATTCAGTAAATAATATTTATGATTCCTCACTACCTGGTGTTGTCACAGCCTAAATTGAATTACTAACATAGTAATCTGTATGCTAACTATTTTATGAGGGAGTTCTAAATCTAGGGTTAAAGGTAAATGATATGACGTTTAATCTCGACATCAACATTAAAAAAATATTGATCATGTCATCTGACCAACATATTTTCATTGTCACTTGTATTGATCCTCCCTCCTTAAAATTATTTTAAATCATACGAATCAAAGCGAAAAAGTAAATTCAGTTCCCCTTTGAGTCTACAGGCAACAATTCTTCAAGATCCTCTCTTCGGTTTTTAATTGTTTTTAGATCCAGATATCTCTTCGTTTTAGTATGGAAAATAAATATTTGATATAACCTTTGAAGTATTTTTGTACAACATCGCTTCATATTACATTAATTTTCCAATAAAATGACGTCAGTACTACCAGTGCCTTGTAGTTTGTGGTACAGACCCCTTTTTATCGAATTATTAACATCCGCATAAAACTTAACAGTTTCATCTCATCGTTACCTAAAACCAGTTTATTTACGAAAACTCTTGGAATTGGAGCGTTTTCAATCTGGAGCGGGCCAAACTTTATCTATTTAATTAGGTACTTAAAACTCGTAAATACCCATTTGCTTTCTACTCGTATCGTAAGATAATTTGATATCGAAATCGAGAAAAAAGGCGGAATTCAAAAGTATTGAGCCGTTTGGAGTGAGCTACACCCCCAAATTTTCAAAATGACGAGATTATATAGGGCAAACGAGACAATATTTTCGTAGGCCACCTTTTTAATAGAATTACCAAATAGAATGAAAATGGGTATTTACGAGTTTTTAGTACCTAATTAAATAGACAAAATTGGCCCCCCTCCAGATTGAAAACGCCCCTATTTCAAGATTTTTCGTATATAAAATAGTTGTAGGTTACGATGAGATGAAGCTATTTACAAAGTTTCAGGCGGATGTTAATAATTCGATAATAAGGGGTGTGTACCACGGACTACTATTAGACATTCGGCGCCACTGAGCATTGAGTCTTCTCCACTACTTAAAAAAATAATTTATTTATTAGCTGCTTTGTTATGTAATATTTGAATTTTATTTCATTCAGTATTTTTGAATACAGTTGCCTTATTAATAGGCTAAAATTAATTATTTAAATACTTTTTTTTTAAATTTCCAATACCCTTGAAGATCGGCGTCCCCAACAGACGTACTTCCAGGTCGGCGCCACGGGGCGATTGCCCCGGTCGCCCCACCCTAAAGCATTCAGTTTTACACAGACTTAATACAGTTTGATAGTAATTTGTTTCCGAATAGATTGAATTAACTATTAATAATGATTAACTAACATATTAACTATTAACTTATTACCTACAATCAAATGTAACCTCCACTAGCTTGTTATCCACTGATATCGTATTATTATGTTATCTTATTCTTATTTTAACTTTATTATAACAAAACTTATTCAATTTTCAACCTATTTATTCGTTAACATTTATTTTCTTTATCTGTTAACCCACAGTTATATACACTTATTCCTTATCTTTTATCGCAGTCTGTTTACTTTTAACTTACATGCTATATTCTCCTTTATTTTTATTTTTATTCATACTTATTTTCCATTTGTTTGTATCTTCTACATATATAATACATAATATTTTAACTATATTGTCACCCATTCTGATATGATTTTTTTTTCTGTATCTGACAACTTCTTCTTATTTTATATCTACTTATTTTTATTTTCAACATGTTTTGTAGCCCTGAAGACGACCTGCAAACTGGGTCGAAACGTCGGCAAAATTAAATAATTACTATATTTTAATTAAGTATTTATTTAACCGCAACCCCGCCCCCGATTAACTCCTTCTCATATTAAATTATTAAATTAACATGATTCGTCTGTGGTAATGTGAGAGATTGATGCGCCGCAATGAGAGATTTTTTAGTAACAAACTTTCACTTCAGTTATTTATATTAACAGTTACATTAAAAAAGTATATGAATGCATTTCTGAATAGGGTATACCATGGTATTTTAGTTCTATAAGCTTTTTCCATAAAGATAATATGTTTCATGTTCTCAGAGGATTTTTAAGCGAAATTGATTTCGTTACAGGTGGTGGTAATGTTAAACGAGGGCTTTAAGACCAGTTAAAAAAGTTTATTTAAAAAAACTAAAATATTTTTAAATAGTGATGAGAAGAATGAAATAAAAAAATATATATTCATGGAACACGTACAATTAGAATAATTACACCACGATTGAGTGTTTATTGAGAATCAACTTTATAACTAAAAAAAGTGTTTGATATTAATAAAGACATTTTTTAAAATAGTGGATTCATGGTTGACTGTAATGAATAATTGAAGAAAAGGTTGGTTGGGGTGTTCAGTAAAAAAAAAATAAATAAATAAAAAAATTATATTTATTTTATTTTTTTCTGAACACTCCAACCAACTTTTCTTCAAATTTTTTAAAAGTATTTTGTGATGAAAATGGGTCTTTAAATTTGCTAATTAAGTGTTCATAAATTTTGTTTCTTGGCTACAACGATTAAATCAACATTCATTTGCTGAAATCGTAAATAAACGTTCTCTAAAAAGATAATTAAAATAAGTCAAATGTAACAAATCCGAACAAAATAACACTACATAAAAAATATATAAAATGAAATTATTATAGTTTGAAGTTATGTAGTTTATATTCTGAAAAAAATATTATTTTGGAGTTTAGTTTACTTATCAAACTGAACTATTTATGGTTGAATTATAAGCCCCAAATTCGATCCCAGTTACATTATCTGTGTATGAGGTAAATCTTTCCGGGGGTTAGACAAATCCTCAATAAACGACCAACGGTTGAAATTTGACCAGCGTACAATTTGAACAAACAGAGCTTTCTTCTCTCTTTCAAAGATATTGAAATCCCGAAAATCTCGGGATATCTCTTATTAAGAGTGTACTATGTTATTATGTTATAAATCCAGTACAGATATACGGCTGAGACCTCAAAACTAACCAGCACTCTAGAAACCAGTATTGAAATATTTAATAGAAAAACCCTCCGCAAGATTACCGGCGCGATCTCAAATCAGATTACTAAAGCATGGAAGAGAAATATCAATAAAAAGCTGCTTACAGAAACTAGTCAATCAATATTTCACGATAAGAAAGCAAGGATGCTAAGAAGGGTGAGGCATGTAATTCTTAGAACCTATTCACAAAATTGAGTCTCAATAGAAGGCAAAAGACCTCTGCGAAGGCCAAAAAGCAGATGGATAGATCGAATCATCAACGATGAAATATATGTAGAGTAGGTCGGTTAGTGGATAATTATATATATATTAGCAACTCTAGTAACTTCCTAAAACAACTATAAAGATTGATATGAAGTTGAAAACACTCCATTTTTCTCATTTTAATTTCGAAAAATTGATGTCCTAATTGGATCTAAATTTTTAAATGACCTATGCATTTAAGTAATTTGCTATAATGCTATTTTATTGAAACATTGTGTTATATATTATGTATTATATTGTAAAATGTATATATATATATATATATATATATATATATATATATATATATATATATTAATACTGGAATAACTATAAAAATATCGAGTGGCGTACTCAGTGCTAGGAGAATAATCTTCCAATGCCCAAGGTCCTGGGCACGAATCCCGGCTCATGGCAGAAAAATTATTTATTATGTTTCATTATGCGTGGGGCGATCCTGGGATTTCGAAACCGTCCTGTGGCACACCCAGCCTCTATCAAGTGGGTACCCTTAATTAAATAATTAATTAAGGAGAAAAACGTGGCGGTTGAGCGTGATCTGAGACAAATCCCCTCCTTGCACAACCGTTGATGAAGAAACAGCACTTGCCTAAATAATACTGAACCCAAGATCCTTCATGGGTTGTAGTGGTATAAGTTTTTTTAATTTTTTTTTTAACTATTAAAATATCTAATCAATGTTTTTAAAAGTTTATAATGATTATTTTTAAAAGAACACTTTTTGAAGATCTATCAAATGGGATGATAATGTGAGTTTAAGGCAGTTTAGGAAGCTCATCATAATAAGTTAATATTATTTTTGTTTCATATTAATATGTTGCACATAAATGTTAAATCAAGCTATATTATGAAAAAAAAAAACGGGTTTATCCAGTTAAGGAGGACCAGGAAGATGTTAACGGTGTCAATAACGAGATAAATTTACCAGGAAGGTTAATATATTTATTAATTTGAAAACACATTTAATGATATCTCTATAATATGATAAGAAATATGCCTGATGCCTGAGTCAGATTTATAAACTGTAGATACTAAAATAAAATATAAATATTAATGAGAAAAACTGGTTACTGACTGATTACCATTTCTCCTCAATAAAAACTGCATGAACAAATCAATGTAAAATAAGGTACAGAATCGAATAAATCATGAATCAATATTCTCATGACTTATATACTTTTTTTTTATTTTAGCTATACAGTATATTTATCAAAGCGCTGGCACAGTGTGCACTCACTTTGATGGACATTTAAGGAAAATAATTGAAAACTAATTTAAGTCG